AGCCCCCTCTTTCCATTCTCCTTCCTCTCTCCCCCTCCTTTTCCAAGCACAAACTGCTAGTTCGAGTGAAAATAATGACACTCTCTATTGGCAAGATAGGCAGACGGTTGAAATTCAAGAAGGCAGCATGATGGGGAATTGTTGGCGCCTGCTGCTAGACAGCCCTGATGAACCCTGATAAACCGTGGGACAGATTAGCTTCAGTCAGCTCTGCCCTGTAGAGATGCTTCTCAACCACCGCCTTCCCTCTCCACTGGGCAGCAGGAGGGGAAAAAATTCCCCCCACTTGAACAGGTTATTAGCAGCAATGAGCCTAGCAAACCCTCATTTTCTATTTTCAAACCTAAATCCCAGCCAATCCAGCTACAAGGGCCCAACCAGCCAACATGATATTTAATTTATAGCCTAAAGAGTTGACATATGAAGCAGGAGCCTATGGCTATACCTCGAGGCCTAGTGCCAAGAAGCAGAGTTTGAAAAGCAGGTCACCTACTTCTATATTCATTAGCTTTTCTCTGCCAAAACTATTTGTTGGGCCAGAGGCACAGGAACATGTCTGAGCAGAAAGGAGGCAGTCCCTGTAGACTGCTCCAGGTAGAAACTGGTCCCCTTGGTAGTTCAACTGCAGTGATGGATCAGAGGGTTTCTAAAGGAACAGATGACCTGCACATTGAAGGTCTCTGCAAAAATTTGTCTGAGAAAGAGCGTCAAGTACCTGGAAGACAGAAGAAGCCTTTGACAACAAGAATCAGACTGTGGGAGTCCAGTTTCCACCGTTTGAAACGGCCTGTCTAATTGAGCTACCAGAAGAACCTTTCCTAGCTTCTGGAGATTAACACATATCTTCCCTTCAGGTTACCCAACACTGAGCTAGAGGCCAGAAAATACTTGCCCTGCCTTCAGTGAAGCAAGGCAGAAGACCAGCTCCATTTCCATGGAAAACCATTAAGTGCGATACCCTCTGTGTATCCACAGCAGCAAGTCATCTATAAGAGTAGATGGTCCAAGTTTAGGTTTGAAAGGCTGGAAAGGAGATTGATGTCTCAACTTCAGTTGCCATCTCCTTACCCTTGTTTCTAAGCTGGTGTAATTTTAACTGATCTTAAGCCTTCAGGAACACACCAGCATATCCAGTTGTAAGGTGGATCTTCACCACCACTTTTACAATTGGAGCAGACCTCCAGCCTAGCTCTTTCCAAGTAATTAGCACTCTTGAACATCAATCACCATCAAGAAACAAGGACTGCACCATAACCAGGGTCAATTTCATGCCCAGAGTTAATCCACCTTCATGTCCTAGGTATGAGTTTTTAGCTTCAATGCACAACTATCAAGACATACTGGTACTGCCCAGCTCAGGCCTCTCTTCACCCCTCTCTCCAAAACAATAAAGATTTCTCAAGGATGCCCCCACCACACAGGAAACTCCCTGGGGCACACTGTTTGCATGTTTCTAGTGACCTTGCAAAGCTCCAACTGTTTATCTGGAGGCCAGGAGGAATGACTTACTTGTCTCAACAGCTGCTCACATCTGCCTGCCCTTCCCACCAGAGGGAGGATTCCTCCAACACAGCATCCCCAGGAGCGGCGGATGCTTCCCCACTACACCCTTGAGCCGTGGAAGCCATCGCTGCTGTACAGACTGCCAAGCATGCCATCAAACACTATTACCTCTGTGTGTTGCCATGTCACCAGTAATTGGCCATCCCACCCACCAGCACAAGAGCCAAGTTACTCTTTAATAAAGACCTCTCAGAAGCCAAGAGTTATTTCTGTTCATCCTAAATTCCTCAGCAGAAGCTACTCCAGGAGCCAGCCTGCGACTGCCAGAAACTATCTTATCTCAGCCAGTCTCGCCAGCGAACTGCAGGGTATCAGCAGTCGCACACAGATCACTTTGAAAGCAGGTCTGGGTGCCAGGGGAAGGAAGGGAATTCAATCCAGCGACTCAGGTTGTGGTCTCTGCCCAAAGGCAGATGAGAAGCACAGAAACCACCTGCCCAGCAAACTACATGTCATTAGCAAAAACAAAGCCTTCTGGGACTGGAGCATTTCCCTCTCCATAATTTTTAAGGTTCAAGCTCACACTACACAAAATACAGCTTCCTACAGCTAAGGGACCATCAACTGGCTGAAAAGATACCAAATTCTGACAAAAATAGCATCCTTTTTAAACTAGGAATCCTATGAATGACAGTGAGGAAAGCAGACTCTTCTAAGCCAAGATTAATTACAATTAAGAACGGGAAAGTTGAGAGAGACAGTGCAGAAGTACCCACCAGCTTCAACCTGCCACTCCAACAAGCCCACACAGGTTAGTGCAAAAGCTAGCTCATATCCCACAGGATACTGTCATCATTTAGGGCAATATTTCAGTAATATTTTGTAGACCGTGATGTTGCTCATTGTTAGAGCAAGATCCTGAGAGGAAACATCCCTTTGTTGACCCCTGCTGCAAGCATGAAGAGTTAGTTTGACTCAGCAGGGTCATCATCCGCATTTCTAAAGCATCACCCTAGGTCTAGGCAATGTGATGGTACGTTGCATGGTTGTGGTAAAGCACACAGACCACACCACAAGATTGCAGTTTGGTCTCAAGCACAGGACATCTTTGATCTTACCTGAGATTCCTCAGTCCTCCTAGCCCGAGGGCTTTCTATGGATCCATTGATGTCCAGGGTGTTGTTCTGCTTGTATTTCCTCATGATCAAGCTGTCCACAACCCAGAACATAATGGCCTTGGGGAGGAAGGAGTTACATGAATAAATTGCAGAGACCAAAATACAGTCAGAGCTATTTCTTCTCCTTTGGGTTCTTCCACATGACCAGCCTTAATCAACCTAATGTCTAAAGTAACCCTCCATCAGAAGTGTGTCTGTGGTTGGATGAGTGCAATTCCTGAAGTCCCTTTCTCATATAAAGCCTATTGATTCCATAGCTGTTGAAGATCCAGTTAAAAAGAGACCACAATAGGCCAAATTACCACCAGGAAATAGCCATTGAACTAAGCTCCATCCAAGGTTCACCTGCTCTACCCACACCAGTCCCTGGTCAGTTCTATGAGAACCCATGTTTACATTCAAATAAGGAAATGCAGCCTGGGGTGAGGGAGAGAATCTGCTAGCAGAAGCAGGTAACCCCAACTTTGCCAATGCTGCATTCATTGCAATGCTCATGGTATAACTGAAAAGAGTTTGACTCCTTCCTTTGTCCAGGGGGAATCTGAGTATTAACACCTTGTTCTCACTTCCCATCTTAACAGGAACTAAACAGTGGGTCAAGGATTACCCAGAATCAGGGAAATCAGGAAAAAGCTGAGCTTCCAAGAGGTTTTACCAAATTAGTTTTGTCAAGATCAGTAGTTCTGGGTAACCTGAACAATTTGCCTTGCTGTAATGCGGTCTGAAGTGTAGCTAAATGGCTCGGCTGGCAGGTTGCCAAAAGTCACTTTTGATAAGCCATCTTACAGGAACTTCAAGGGCTTTGGGGCATTCCCACACCTGTAGCTTGCTGCAGAGATGCAGCCCTCACCTAACGAGCCCCAGCTTTCTTCAGAGTCAACCACCCAGCAGCTCGAACAAGGGAGCAGAAATTAGGAACAGAGACCACGGCAGGGCGATAGTGACATATTCGTGTGCTCATGACAACAAATATATTTGTTCCCACTCCCCTCCAACATGTTCCAGCCACTTTAATTACTCAAGGCTGCCCCAAACCAGTTCCTGTACATGCCCCTCACTGGGAGGGCACCGTAATTTCCAAGCCACCACCCCCCAGAGCTTGCAGAGACATCACTTACATTGACAATAAAAGGCACAACAAGCATGACCAGGACGAGCTCCAGCTGGGGGTTTGGGATATAACCCAGGAGGATCTGCTGAAGCTGCAGAAGAGAAAGCATTTAGAAGCATTATTTGAACAGCTCTGTTGCGAGATCTTTGCTGCAAACTGGTTGCCTTCTTACACCAGCAGTCTCTTAGGTAGGGCTCTGCAGCCTTTGCTTTAGCCCTGCTCTTAGGAAGATTACATGGGCTATTCCTTTAGCCCAGCTGGCAAACAGAATTTTGTACAGGTCAAGAAATAAGTACTGCTAGACTTTCAGTTTTACTGCCCATGACAACTGGTAGGACTTTCCTTGGCTCCTTGGAGCCTAGCTGCAAAATAAGGACACCAGCCATGCGTGATAAGCATGGAAAGAAATCCAGCAGCATCTCTGGATCTAGCAGCACATGCTGCTGAACAACATGTTCACGTCCAAGTCGGCAGTGTAGCCTCCTGGGTTAGAAGGACAAGCCCTTAACAGGAACAGATAAGTGCTCCCAGATTGCTGTAAATAACTCCTCAGTCAAGTCGCATCAGCCTGTGAGGTACTAGGCACTACGTGCCAATATGCTTGATACTGAGTTACCCATCAATGCCTGGAATTGTTTGGTTTTTTTTTTTTTTTTTTTAATACCCATCACACCTATGTGCCACCAGGTAGGGGGCTACAACTGCCACAGGATGATTACTTTTATTTTTTCAAAGAGAAACTCACGATCAACACAATTACCATTGCATGAGCTACCACACAAGCAGTTGTGGGGGGAAGGACAGCATACTACTGGGGCAGTTCTTCCCAAATTAACCTCTAAGAGTGCCCCTAGTTTAGGCATGGGATTACAAAACACCAATATGAACTGACTTGACAACAAATGCAGAAATTGTCTGGCAGAACTGAAGTAGCTCAACTGCCAGCCCAGCCTATTTTATCCTCCCAAGGATGGAGGAGAAAATTAAAAGCAGCATCTTATTCTACTGGCTTTTGACTAGCAAGAGAACGTACCAAAAGCCAAACTGTTATGAAAGTCACGTTTCCCCAAACTTAAGCTAAAGATTCTTCTAGAGAGATGTCAACAAGTCATAAGGATTAAAGACCTATGATGATGGGGACCACTACTAAAGCAAAGCTGACAAGAAACAAGCCGTAACAGCTGTGGCTAGAAAAATACAGTTCAGGAGCTTACCTTTGTCCAACCAGGGATAAGCAGGACAAGGCTGATCACGGACTTCTCAAACACCATTATCAGCAAGTAGAGCACACACTGGCCAATCCAGGCAGCAGCTTGTGGAGGGTCACCTGGGAAGACAGCATATTAAATCTGAGACAGCAGACAGGAGACAGCTTTGCAGAAAAAGTTGCCTCATGCTTCATACCCGAGCTGATTAAAGGGACAGGGAAGTGTTTCTATATTGCAAGTTTTGCAGCAAGACAAATACTCAATACCAAACTTAAAATTAGTTGGGAAATTTTCTATGCATAGTTATAGGAGCACATGCCTGAGGTAGAAAGGTTTGGGGTCCCTGCTAGGTCTACAAGCCATTACTCCACTGAAGATCAGAACATACCAACTTCTAAGCTCAAATATTTCTAGTTTAATAAAAAGTAAGTCTGACCTGTACTAAAGAAACTTTAGCAGATTTGCATCCCTTGCTAGTTGCAGCTTATTTTGCATCTCTGCAAATTGCTGTAGAGAAATTAGCACAGAAAGGCAGAAACGCACCCCACTTCCATTTGTGCAGACTGCCTGTATCAGGGCAGCTGTTTGTCTTTCAGACTGTGGTTGTGCTTTTGATTTAAGCTTGGCTATAAGCAAGAGAGGTCTCCCTCCCACTACCAACACTGACCTTTTATTCTAGAAGTGATTCTGTTTTTCTACTTTCAGGGCCAACTCTGAAACAGAGATGGCAATTAACCAGACCTCTGGTTAATTTGAAGGGCAAGCAAGTAACAAGTTTTAGACACAACTCAAAAAGCCCTACCCACCTAGCAGGTGCTAATACTACGTGTATTTATCTGCCTTCTGTCCTGCTCTCCATTCCACCAACCTGCCTCTGAAATCCACCAAGAGGAGAAAACCACCACCAAAAACCTTTTTGCCTTGCATGTCCTCCCCCCTTGCCTTTCCTTCCTAGATCAACAGCTTTGCTGGAGAAAAAGTCCTACAAGTGACCTACGAGGTAGGCTGCTTCTGTAAAAGGGGAGACAGACAGCTCTGGCTCTGCCCAAAGACCTGCAATCCCCCGTGTTTATCCAGCACTCGCAGGCACTCCTGGGCTCTCAAGGGCTGTAGCCCGGTAGTATCACAAGTGCTTAATGGAAAAGCCATTCCTGGTAACTCTAAGGAGACTGGATCAACTTTTATGAATCCTAGTTTGGATAACAAATATGCTCTCCTCCACTTGGGGGAAAGGATATACAGCCTTGGAGATGCATGTTTTCCCTCTCCTTCAGCCATTGATGAGCATTGCCAGTATCCTCCTCAAGGTGTTGTGCTACTTTGAGCTGGATGGATACAAGGATTTGAGGAGAGGAAGCCCTGCTTGTGCAAAGGGCAAGGATCTCATCTTCTCAAGCACAGACCACTAAAATCCTTTATTAGGGAAAGTCTGAAAGCTCAGAAATATCAGCATCCTACTGAAATGGTTCTTTACAAGCACGTGTTGCTTTGGGGCATTGCTCATTTGGTTTGCCCCTTCTCTAGCACCCTTTTGTCACGGTCCCAGAGATTTAATTTCTCTTCACCTCAGCAAACCTAGAAAAGTCCAGAGATCCCAGGACTTTCCTGCCCCCGCTCCCTTTCCAGTGGATAGGAGCGGGTCACAAAATCCTGGAGCATTTTGACCAGAATGGCAGGCTGATAATCCCTTCTGAATTAAAGCTAATCCCAATAGCAATCCCCAAGACAAAATACTGCTGGAGTGACCCTCCTGTATACAAGGATCAGTCAGTATCCTGCACACTCCTCAAAAAAAAAAAAATTAAAAAAAAAATCAATCATTAAAGACATCACCTGCAATTTGCTCCCTGCCAAGCCTTACCCACCCAGTTGCCAGCAATAGTCTGAAAATTTCTGGTCACTATTTTCAATACAAGCATAAATTTTCCGTCCTAAACAGAATTAATTTTTTTGCTGATAAAGTGAATGGCTGGTTATGATACTGTCTAAGCAAGAGACAGGGGCTCCATCACCCCAGGTTTTAAAGCAACTCACTCAAAAGTAATCAATCCTAATTAAATATGAATGTTTCCAATGGGGTACTCACCAAGTAATAATCAAAAGCATATTTGTATTGTTAACAACGCTAATGGTACCATATCTATTACACATGCTTGCTTCAGCCCTCTAAGCACCCTGCCAGCTGGTTATCATCTTCCCAGGCTCATCAGAATATCTCAGCTCTGCAAAACTGTGCTACAGTATCTGGCTTAGGAAAGCTGCAGCATTTCCTCTTGAATATAAAGATAACCCCTGGCAACACTTGCTTCCAGCAGAATTGGGCCAGAATTTGGAGTTGCATCTGTGCAAGAGAACCCAACCCAAGGTGAGATGCTGATGCTTGACGTGGTGTTGGATGACAGTGGTCTGGCAGCTTTGCCCCACTTTTCTCAGCACAATACTGTTGAGACATGGCAGAAGACAACACCAGCAGCTTGCAAAAGCACGTTTATCCAAACCACTGTGCAAACCTCCAGCCACAGATACCAGCAGTGCATACCAGGATTTAGTAAGAGCTTCTATCCAACCAAGCCCAGCTCTAGGGGAATCTGCTTCCCAGCAAGGGGAAAAACAGGCTTGCGGGTATACTTGTCCTTATTCTGTCATTATTAGCAGTGTACCAAAACATTTGCCTTGTTGCAAAGCTACAGCTAAGAAGTAGAGGCATCCAGCTACTGTCTCCATGCCACAGATCTCCAAAGGATCATCTTGCATCCCAGCTTTTTAATTGCTCAAACCACAATTAGGAGGAAGCAAAGGAGGAGAGAGGGAAGGACTGGGAGGCCAAGGGTGCAGAGAGGCTGCTGAGCTGGGAGGACAGCAAGCAGAGCACGCCAGGCCAGCAGGCAACCGCACGGAGGGGGGAAGGAAGAGGGAGCCAGGAAGGTTACGTGTGAGTGCAACCAGAAGGGCCCTCAGAGGATTTCAAAGAGTCCACGTCTCCGCTCCCTGGCAGGCAACAGCTTAATGGGTGGTCTGTGGAGGAGACAGGAGCAGTGTTATAGGCAGCTAGCAATTAAAAGCTGGTGTCAGAGAGGCTTTGATCCTCCTCAACCATGGACAGCCTCTCCCAATAGAGTCAGGTGCCTAGTTGTCTTTGGCACAGGTTAGGTATAGTGGGGCTTTTTGTCCCATACCCCAAGACTGACCAATTTTCCTACAAACCCCCAGGTTACCATCACCCATCAGAGCTCCAAGTGCAAACAAAAACAGGAAAACAAACATATCCATCATTTCCTTCCTGCATTTGAACTCGTTCCCTTTTGCTGTGTTGTCAGCTGTGCTCCATCCCCTGTAGAGAGACAGGGCTAACAGCCACAGCACCCTTTGCAAGTCAGCTCTTCTGCACAGCAATCCCAATGGCACTTGTGGAGCACTTCCCTCTGTCATCTCAGCTTGCCCAAAAAAACAGCAGCGAGTTTGAAATCTCTCCCAAATGCCTGCCCCCTCACACCCTTTTGGGAATAGAAGGTCACAACCATTCATCATCACAAACAGCAGGCTATGGTTCTTAGTTTTGCATACTGTGCACCAGATAGCCAGGCTGATACACAGACACTAGAAAAGACAACCTGCTTCTTAACCCACCCTAGTCACAGACTTGTCCATGTGTCCAAGGTCAACGGCTCCTCACCCAAAAAACTGCTCCTGAGTTTTCTTGAAGTTTGACAACCTTTGGAAAAGGAAAATCTTTTCTCCCTTTACTAGAGAACAGGTTTTACTGTGCAACTGCAAGATGCCACTTAGGGAACCCAAATTCTCCGAGACCATAGGTCTGCCCCAGTTAGGCCAGCTTCACTAGCTAAGTGTACAGGGCACGTGGAAGTGGTATGGCAAGACTATGCTACCAAGCAGGACCCACCTACACTCCTTACCTACCCACCACATCCCACCTTGTCAAAGGTGCCTCCATCACAGCATGGAGCTTCAAGTATTTCTCACTCTGGTCACCTACAGAAGATGCTGTGAATGTCCTCCACAGTTAGAGGGACATCAACACTTCTTACACATCCAGAGTAGACAGTGGAAGAATATGGAAAGAGAACCACAGACCTAGGAAGAGACCAGATCTGTCCATCTGCTCTATCACCTTAAGCAGCTCAAAACTGCTACTGTTTTGAAACCTCTCCCTCCTCTGATGAGGCTTTGGGCAACGTGGTCTAGTGGAGGGTGTCCCTGCCCACAGCAGGGGGGTTGGAACTAGATGGTCTTTAAGGTCCCTTCCAAACCAAACCAGTCTATGATTCTACAATTCTTTTTGCATTCTGAGCTTTGTTTTCAGACTATGGGATAAGATGTTTCTCCATCCTGAAGCACAGAATTAGACAGGACTTAGTTTCCACCCCTGACAGGAAGATTGGAGCGTGTCTCCACAGTTACTTTTTACTGCATCTTGGTCACCCAAGGACAGGAGGCTGCTCAGTACCAAAATAACTCAGGATAAAAGGTGAAAATGAAACAGCGGCATGGCCCACAGGGCTGCAAGAATCACTCACAAGGATAAATAGACAGTGGCTTTTTTCCTCTTCACCAAGGAGTTCAGCTAGCTGCTCCTTACCTCAGCAGGTTTGAAGTCACCCAAGGACCACTGATCCACCTCAGAGTGTCCCTCATCCACGTCTAACTCGCCACTAGTTCATCTAACACTGACTAATGCCAGTAACAAGAAAGTCACAATCTGTTTGCATCTCATCAGGGAAGAGAAAGCCTTCAACGCGGTCCCTGGACAAACCCATAAGACAGATTGAGCCACGTCATCTCCTCTGTCCAGAGTTAGGAAACGAGGCTGGAGAACTTGAGCTGATCTCAGCTAATGACACACCTCATTTAGATGCTGGCTTCCTACAGCAAGATGGTCAGAGGCATCCTCAGGTGTAACTTAATGTCTTTAATGGATCAAGTGCTGTCCAGAGGTGCCCTGCTCCACAGAGGGGAGAGGATTCTTCTTACATGAAGTGCTTCTGCTACATAAATCTAGGTGAGTGCCTACAGGACTGATCTGCCACACAAGATAGCCAACCAGCAAAACCAAATCCGGTCCCTGGAGACTAAAACCAAATAGATGCCCTCCTCTTCACTCTTGTGTGCAACACTTTCCTTTCCTTGTAAAAGAGGGGTGGAACCAGTCTAAAGGATCTTTGCAGCCTCTGCACCGCATCTGTTAGGAGAAGCCATATATCATGCTCCCTTTGAATGCTTCCCTGAAACAAGGGCAGTTTCTCACCCCCAGTCCTAGTGGTAAGGTACCTCTCACCTCCACACACTGACTCTACCATCAGCCTCTCCTTTTAGTTTAATGAACACCCTTTGCTCAACTCTTTTCATAGCCATCTCCCCCCCCCCAAAATAAATGTTCCCCTTTGCCCCAAAGGATGCACACATTGCATTTAGACCATTCTCCTCCAGCAGCATTACTGGTGCTCCCCACCATCAGCAAAACTTCCTTGATGCAGACCTAGGATCGCTGGTGCCTGCAGCAATCTCACTCAAACACGTCTCACATATTCCACTTGTGCATGGGAGCCCAACTGCTCGCAGAGCAAAAGCAACGCTGCTTGAGGTATTTAAGTTGTTACCACACAACAGGATTAGTTTTAATCCAGGCTGTCTAATGTACCGAGCTGTCAGCATAGCCCACATGTTACTGCCAGACAGCTTTATTTGCAGTCTTTTAGGGACTGCGTGCACACTGAGCCGGGGGGAAGCTTAACCACAGCCCAAGCAGAGGGTTAAGGGCATTGAGGAAAAGCAAATATTTGAAAGCACTGAAAGATGTACTGGGTGACATGGTGGTGATAGAAAACATCAATAAAAACCTCTTAAGAGATACTCAAATGGTACCTGCAAAACCAAGGCATCTAGTTGTCAGTGCCAAGTACAGAGAAGGGTGAGAAATAGCAGCAAAGCATCTGAATTGCACAGAAGTGCTCAATTTGAGGGCAAGAACAGGTTTTCAGGGACTGGGACCTGACCCATCAGAGCAGCCAGATGGGTCCAGTGGACACCCCAGACCCTCTCTGGCATATTCTGCATCTGAACGAAAAGTGAGTGTGCAGCTGGAATCAGTCCTCAGTTTGCAGCATCACACCACTGCTCTGAGTCTTCAGTCCCTGGAGATACTGCTACTGCATTGGGGTAAATGCTGCTGCTATCAGCCAGATCCAGGAGGGTTCAAAGGTCTGCACCCCTGCTCAGGGCAAGGGACCTGACCACACACTCAACCATTTGAGGATGATCCTGAGTCCCCTGGTCCTAGGGGTGGAAAGACCACGCATGCCAAGGACAGGACAGCCCCTCAGGTTAGAGCTGTTTCCAGCAGTATTTCCTCAAGCACTAGCAACCAGCTCCCTTGGCTGCTTCAGGATGTGGGAATATTTGTTATGGAAATTTTTTACATCACAACAGGGCCAAAAGCAGCCTACACAGGTCCTCAGTTAAACTCAGCAGCTGGCATAGAGCATATTCTCTTATAACTAAATTTGACCAGCAGAGTTCAACAGGCCACTAAACAGACTTTAAAGGCCTCCAAGCAACATGCCTTCCCATTTCCAGACAGTGAATGAGCTCAAAGCATCAAGCTTAGACCAATCAGTGACTGCAGCCACAGTCATACACAAGCCAGCATCCAGAGAGGCATTTTCAAGCAAGAACACGCTCTTTTTCTCCCCGTAATTTCTTAATAGTCTTTCAGAATTTTACTTGCACATTGCAGAAGCTATCTCTTAATGCAAATTCATAGCACTTGCTTACCTGAAAGAAATACTCCAGTATTTCTGAAGTAATACTTTAGAGTTATTAGACACAACTACAATGCCAGGACATTGCAGCTATCTAGATGTTCCCTCTAGGGAGCTGCCATGGAAATGGGTGAGGGAGAAGAGGGCTGGAGCAGTTTGGAGGTGGGGCACAAAGCTGAACCAGGCTTCATCTGCAGGCTCTGACTCCAGCCAGCATCTCCCCTGCTGTACAGACCCAACAGCACCTCCAAGACCTTGGGTACCCGCCTGCCAAGTCCTTTGCAGCTTAAACTCTGCTCTCCTTCCTGCAGAAGTCCCCTACAGCGACAGCAGATGTGGCCTGCTGCTACCCTGCTAGAGCAACAGTGCACCGAGCATTCATGGAGTTTGTTAGCTTTGAGAATGCGTGAGGCAATAATCATTCATCCAAAGTCTACTTGAACCAAGATGAAGAATAAACCTCTCCAATATTCGATCTTAGGAGCCAAGCATCTGCCAAGAGGACAGCAGCCTTTAAAAATTCAGTTTCCTGTGCTTAGATGCAGTCCAAAGAGCAATCAAGAGCTGCTGGACAAAGATGGAAGAAGATAAGCATATAGGAGCCTTTGACTCTCCACCAGCTAAAGCCCAGGTCATTACTGGCTGCAGCAGTCTGGCTAAGAGCTCAGGCACAAGAGCAGCTGATCTCAGAATGGGTGTCTCCTGTCGTTTTTGAAATACAAAAGTAATTGATTTTTCTAAAGAGTTCTGACAGCTGGATGCTTAAAATTGCAGCATAGACTGAGGTGCTTCCCCTTCCCTTTACTTTGCTTCTCCATTAATACAGCTCTTGCAGTCACACAGGGAAAACCACCCCAGGACTGTGGAGACAGGTAAACCATCAGCAGAGTAGAAGGGACTGCCAGAGCCCAAGACAAGGATAACTGCACCGATTTGCAACAGTTGTGGGGATGCAACCAAGAGCTGGAAGGCCAGAAAAGAAGCAGTTGCAAAAGATTTTTTTTTTTCTTCTTTTGCTCAAAGACCATGCAGGTAGATGGGTACTGGCCATACTGGACAAAGACACAACTGCTCTTTCCTGATGGTTGGAGCAACAGCACTCACCGCTGTCTGCAGCATGGATTTGGTGCTTTCTGCCCTTCCTCCTCTGCAGGACTGCAAGAGATGCTTTTGCTCCTCAGGAGAATTGAGGAAAGCAACATAATCTGGTACAGCAATTTAGACCAGAAAGTGAATCATATTTCTGGAGCCTGTATGAAATTGTACAAAGTTTACTAGCATCTTCCAAACTGTTTTGGAAGTTACTTAATTCCCGAGATGAGGATAGCAGTGTTTTGCTTCCCTAGCCCTACAGCAGGATTGCATTGGACATGACACTTGACTCCTACCTAACTTTTCCACTGTAGTGTCTCTGGCGAGAGACCTGCACCAAGAGCAGTGCTGGGTGGATGAGGTATTTAATCCTCAATTCAAGAGCTAAATTCAAGCAACAGCAGAAACTCTTTTTTATTAATGAAAGCAAGATTTCCTCAGAGGAGTGAACTGTTTCTATAATCTAAGCCAGCCTTCATGAGGGGCCAGCTACAGCTCAACAGAAGTTCATTACTGCTCTGCAAGGTTAAAGCAAGCTGTCAATACACTTTAACATTTCCTTGCTTTTGCTCAACTGCAGACGTGGCATGCAATGCTGAAGCTGTGCCCTGGAATGGCTGAAGTTGGGCTTCAAGTCCTTGTTGCTCAGAATGGGAAAAATGCCAGTTCCTAAACCAAGAATATCTGGATTTCTCCACTGTCTCATCTGAATGACTTCAGCACTCTATGCTTGACTCCTCAACTCTTTGAGAAAGAGCCATTAGGGGAAAAAAAAATAGTAGTCCCCACCAAATACATGCTGTCAGGATGCTGAACCTGCTCTGGAGATCACTGCAGCCTTTAAAGCCACTCTCAGGTTTGACGAGAGCCAGCCCTGCCTCATCCCATCATTTCAATCCATCTGTGTCCTCTCATTCCCAGTCTGTAGCTGCTTCTGCTGTCTCACATCCAACCACCCCTTCATCCTGTGCCACGACCCATTTACACATGCTGAACGTGAGCCTGAGTAAGATCTCACGAATCAGTGGGGTGTCCACACTAATCCTAGTTTAGTCCAAGTTTTACCAGCTCAGTCGCTAAAAATACCAAAGAAAGAAACTACCTTCAGAATAGACTTAATCATTATGGTCTTAAAGGTGGGAAAGTGATTGGTATAAATAGGATGTCTTTTCTGAAATATGACTGAATTAGTCTTTATATTAGATATAATGTAAAATAGGCAAAAGGGTTAATTTTCCCCTTTCCTGCAGCCAGGAGAAGCGCTCTTCTGGTAGCTGTCTCCGCTCTTTCTGAGGAGAAGTGCTACCCTCTAGTGGGGCTGGCTGAGAAAGGCTTTTCTGAAACAGTTTTTCCTCCTCATCTCAAGACAGAAATCGAAGCAGAGATGTTGCCAGACCGGGGCGTCCTTAAAAAAAAAATTTTTTTTTTTTTTTTTTAACATCATCTGGCAAAAAACCTAACCAAAAAACCCACAAGACATTGGAAAACTCAGCTTTGGGGACAGGCTGTGTCCTGCTGATGCCTGCTACAGCTCAAGGCACATGCAAGAACGACTCCACATTCTGAACTGAGAGGCTAGGAAAAAGACCCAGAAGAACCCCACAAAAATCACCACCATCACACCCAAACACCTTAATTTATCATATGCATATCCTGGGGTACATTATCTGCCCAAGGAAATATTCAACCTTTCGTCACCAACCTGCTTGGCAGGGCAGCAGGCAGAGTTACCCACGACCTAATGACGTCCCAGCATTTAACACGCTGATCACTACCACACTCTGCGAGCTCCTTGCAGAAAAGGTAACAGAAGCTGGCTGCTCACATGTTTTCTCCCCAAACTGGTGTTCCTGCCATTTTCTTCTCCTCATTCATAGCTGGGAGCAAACAAGCCACCTTTGTGCCCAGCCGTTGACACCTACCATATTCTCCAAAGACCAGGGTCGTGTACTTCTTGTGCTGCACAATCCAGGAGACAACCTTCACGCCAAGCCAGATCAGCAGCATCCCCAGCGTGGCATCAAGGATGAAATTAATAAGGTAGCTAAGAGCAAAGAAAAATTCAGGTTTCAGTTGTGTTAAGTCTTATTCAAAATATTTTATTTCAGTATGGGGATCCATAGAAAAAAAACCCCAAGATCTCAAAAATCCCCACTTAATAGTCCAAACTCACTTCCCTTCTCATTTCTTGGATTTTCCTATAGCCTTACCAGCAATTTCTTAATTTAAAAGCCTGTTCAGCAGAGAAGGGAGCAGACCACCAACTCTGGCATTGCTCATTTATTCATACAGCATTAAATACTTCCCGGGCTAGCCTTGCTTAAGAGTTATCCCCAAAAAGGAGCCTATCCATTTGCAGCATCTTTTGTTCTTATTAGGATGAAATCCCAACTTCATGGAAACAGAACCAAACATTTTTGGAACGTGACACAAAATGGAAGCTTCTTGGACACCACAGCTGCTCTGAAAACTGTGCAGCAGAAGAGACAAAAAGTCCATTTTACTGAGCAGCTGCAAGAGTCTCCTATGAGCAGAGATGCAGACAGAGGCAGGAGGTTTTGGGATAGGCAACAAGCCCTGGCTCAACAGGAGGCATCCTGGGGTCCCCAAAAGCCCCTGGTTCAGGGTCCCCACTGCAGATCCAGGAGCTGAACCCATCCCCACCAGAAGATTCAGGCCTGATGGGTTTGCTCTGCAGCTTTGGATATTTAAGTCTCACTGGACAGAGCACGAGAGACAGGAGACCTGCAGGGACCTTCTGGGGATTGCAGGGTCCAAGCTCTAATCCAAGGCTTGGTATTTTAATGAACTCCAGTGGAAAAAAAAAAAAAGTATCACTCAGACTAATGTTTTCTGGCCAGTTTTCCATTATTGGAGTATTTTCTGCCAGATCAGGCCAGATTACTACAGCGTGAAGAAAATACCAAGTACAGAGCTACAGGAATGAACATTTCCTTTTCCAGAACTTGATATTGCCTCTGAAGAAAAACACTGAAAATAACAATCTGCTTTTGATATCCATTTTGAAAACATGACGTGAAGTTTTTCTACAGCCAAAGGCTCAGACTAGCTTACTACAGTTTCCAGCTGCTGAAGATAGAGTACTCAGACACAAACACGAGGCTCTGGTGGTTTATACTGGGCAGGACATGCAGTTTATGAGCCTCAAAGCCCAGGGATAGGGCTTTAGAGTTTTAAGCTGCCTAGTTCAGGATGACAAGTCAGGCAGCACAGGGAAACTTAAAAACACACATTAAGGAAAAAAACCCAAACCCTGAAGGTCACAGCATCAGCACAAAAGGGTTTATTTTAAAATGGTGTCTGTTTAAAACAATGAATCATTTTAGAGGTTATATTTAGCCCCAGCCAAACTTGTGTCTGTTTAAAGAAACATATCAAGGCACAGCGCTTTAATATACAAAAAGGACGTAAGCCAAAAAGTTTTCAGCATGGTTTTGAAGCCTAGAGGAGGCTTAAAACAGGATAAAGTTAAATCTGAAATGAAATTTGCAGCTGCAAAGTAGCTGGTCTAAAGTAAAGGTGGCACATCTATGTCAAGTCTGAAGTCTGGCTTAGAAAGCCCCCAAACAGGACTACAGGAATACATGAGGTAGGCGCAACCAAATATAAAAAACCCAAACATCCTTACGTTGGACAAATGCCTTCACCCACACAATTTAGGAAGCATCCTTGATACTGCTCTGAGATTGGCCAAATTGCCAAGTCCAATGTGCAAATAAATGGCACATTCAACAGTTGCATGGTGAACCACTGCATTATATATTGGCAAAAGGTGCAGTAAACATCAAGGTGCTTCAAAGGAATCAGTTTCTACTGTGTAAGATATTTTTCAACAGGCTTGCTTCTTCCTTTTACAGATGTAGGACGTGAATGCAAGCATCTTGTGTACTTACAGAGAGCAAGGGTCCTCTTCAGTGAGATCCGACAGAAAAACATTGGCAAAGTGGATGAAGATGGAACCTATTGCTTGCTTGGAGGTGTCATAAAACCTGGAGAGAAAAAAAGGCAAAAATATCTGTGTCCTGGGGCACCAGCAGCCCAGTAGGCACACAAATGAAGGCCCTGCATGTGTCTGCTTTTCTCCAAGATGTATTCATGATGCTCAAGAAATTGTATGTGGTGAAAAGGGGCAGTTTGGCTGACTCCAAATGCTTAAGAAAAAAAAGATACCACTTCAGTACGTGGCAGCTCAGTCTTGCAGCTCTGCACCTGACACTTACTGCTCAGTTTTAGCCTGCAGCGAAGGACAGTTCACCCTCCAGTGCCCAGCCCAGCCTCAGTTTCCCCAACAAACAGTAGGTGCAGGGAAGCTGTTCAACTATTTACCATTTTTGCATCCGTCCACAGGGAGTTGGATTGAATTCCCAAATTATTTTAGAGGAAGAAACAACCTGAGGAGACTGACATGTTTTTCATCACTGACGTTGGCTGGTAGCTCCGTGCTGCCAAGCCAGCCTGACAATACACAGATCCCAATCACACGCTCACCTCTCGGCAGTCCGTCAATCCTTCAGTACAGGGATGCTTTGTAGAGGTGTCTGAGCTGAGAGCGATACCCAGCTAAGAACAAAACTTGACCCTGTCAGGGAGACAGCCCACGTACAGGTATGGCTGCAGATCATAGGGAACTGAAACCTCCTGGTTCAGCCCCCTGCAGTAAAGCCAAGTTTCCCTGGAGGAGCTAGGCAGGGAGTTTTACTTCTAGGGAACACCAGCTACTTCATGGAGGTTTCCTTGGGAAGTGGGAGCAAAGCATTTCATTTAACAATTAAATACCATGCAGGATATTCAGAGGGCCTAGAAGATTGTTAGTATAAGAGAAAATATTACATATACATGGTCTTTTCAAGCTACAAATTAAAAATCTTACCATGTCCTCCAGGGACGCCTCTCTTCCTTTGGTTCCTTAAATCGTTTTACTGCAAAGAAAATTAGAGACTTACATTAACCAACAGAGCTGAACCAATACATTTGCGCAGTCTGCACCAATCCTCAGCACAAAAGCAGTCAAAAAACCCAGCCTGGAGGACACTCAGCATTTCACAATCTGAAACGGAGCAAATCCAGATGACCTGGCTCCAAACTGAGCAGGGGCAATGCATGGACCCACAGGTCAGAAAGATGAGCAACAGCAGAGGTGTTTGGGAAGTAGACGTGTGCTCCTGCCATCCTTCACCAGCAGCATTTTCATGCTATGAGAAGTAGCCCGAGGGAAGTTAGGCAGGGTTCACCACTACCTACCAGCTCTAGTAAGCCTTCCAGGCAAACTGAAATTGGGGTAGCGACAGTGAAATGATATGGCCCAAGAGTCTGTTTGTTAAGCTTTTGGGTCACAGTAATGCAATAAAGTCATCTCCTTGCAGCTAACAGGACCAGAAGACCTTTGAGGAAGCAGGACCTTGCATACATGTCCAGCATATAGGTACCAGTGCCAAGCCCCAAAACGCAGCAAGCTGGCATGGCTCCAAGCTTGTGCCAACTAATATTAAAACATTATTGTATTATGCAACATTTTGCATGCCCACTAGCTACCACTGTGGAGCAGTAGTCTGAGACACTTGACTTCAGTACCACCAGCCATATACCCTGAAAAAGATATTTGAAGGAACTCTTCCTGCCTTGAAAACATTCAAGGTCAGGTTGGACGGGGCTCTGAGCAACCTGATCTAGTTGAGTCCCTGCTCATTGCAGGGGGATGGGACTGGATGACCTTTAAAAGTCCCTCCTAACCCAAACCAATCTATGATTCTTTAAATGAAGTCACTCTGGCCATAGATGAGTTTGCTCCTTGCAGCGTTTCAGGCCTGTCCTCCTCCATGGAGCCCTCCACTGTTGTCTATCACAGCTCCTGCTCTGAGCTTTCTCCTGTTACTACCTGGAGATAACAGCAAGTCAGATTTTTACCTAGTCTTGCTCAGAGTGGGGTCTGAGCATTGCAGAAGCATCTCAAAGGGTCCCATTTAGTTTGTCACAGAGATTTGGTGCTCTCCTTGGGTTCAATCAGCTTTTACATACACAAATAGGAGCCTCTGATGGAAAAGTACCAGTACCACATCCCACACAAGTCATTTTTGACTGTTCTGCTGTCACTCCAGCTAGGAGCCCATTTCAGAAAGTACCAGCTACCAGGCTAACTCTTCTCCCATTAAATCCACAGGTACCAATGCTCTAGAACAAGCAGACCTGGAAGAGGCTTTTCCACTACATTAGATTTATTAATTAGAAAAAAAAAATCCCCAAGAATAAAAGGTATTCAGTGGCATTGTTTTGCTTTGTGGTAAGGCTGCTAACAGCTACATCTAGAGCTAGAGATATCATCGTTACAGCTACAGCTCCAAGCACGCTGCCTCCAAACCTCAGGCAGACGCAGAGGGGGGGTGCAGATCCTCCACCTTGGCCACTGGAACCACTGTTCTCCTCACCAATGCTAATGGGCTCAAGATGGATGGTTGATTAAATCTGCCACAATCCGTTCCCAAACACGCTGCCAGCTTCGATAGGATTCAGAGTTAAAAATAATGAGCTGCAACATTTTTTTGAGGGAAATGGAAAACAATAATAATTCAGTGCATTCTCTCTAGCTCCTGACAGTCCATCCCCGGACACGAGTGGAACAGGAGCTTGGTGGTGCCACCTAGTGAAACCAGGAGACTGAAAGCAGCAGGACACATGAATATGAACCAATGTGCAATGTACAACCCTGTAAAGAAACCACCCCAAGAGTACATATTGTAAGCATTAATCACCAAATCCTTCTATACATCCCAGCTGTACCTGACACTGGCCAGATCACTGCAATGAGTACTGAAGAGTACACAGACTGCGGAAGTCCAAACAGACCACCAGTTAACCTATTTTACCGTCACTAAGTCTTCACCCTTGGGAGCTCTGTAGCCCGCTCTGCTCCTTTAAAAGCAACCCAAAACCAGAACAGACACACACCACCCCACTGGGCACAGCTTTTTTTTTTTTTTTTTTTCCCCTCCTTCAGCTCCCCAGCTACGTGTAATCAGACACTGCCTTCAAATTTACAACCAAAGGGACTTTTCTCACTGCTGACAGATCTTGGCACATGAGGATGCTTCCCAGGGCGACTTGGGGATATGAAGACAGGGACCCAGAGAGCCACAGGTGAAAGCAGGGGCATCAGAGCCACATGCTTCTGCCTGTTCTCCAGTGGGGTAAGGAGATACACTTTTATAGATAGGAGTTTCTTTTCTGCCTGTGGGAGGAACAGGGCACAGGCAACGCCTCTGGTACATTTTAGATCATTAACACTGCTGATAAGGCAGCACAACTTTAAACAACTTGGTATCCAGCTCTCCGTTTCCAGATTTATACTCTACTCACTAGTTAGTCTTTCAGTTAATGAAACTGCGGAGAAGCAAATAGCTTCTGTCCAAGTAAAAAACTGCCCCTTTAGAGCCAGGAACTGATCTCACCCAGGCACATCACTGTAGCCAGTCCCATGGGCTTCCCATAAAACACTCACAGGGAATCTGAATGACTCTGGTTACAACCCGAAACAAGGCTTTTTCCTTCCCTGCCCTGTGGGGAAATGCACGGCTTTAACAGCTGTACCAGCAGGCAAACTCTCCTCCAAAAGCAGGGTCAGCAGCATGCTCCGCGAAGGCTGGGCAGAAGCACCAAAATATTAGCTGGATACAGGTGATGTTCAAGTAAAGGTCTCTTTGCTCTTCTGCATCTAAATGGTAATTAACTGATCTGTTCAGACCAGCTGTACTTGAGCAGTCAGCCTGCCAGCTGGAGCCCTACCATCTGCCCTGAGGGACAGCCTGGGCTCATTCCCCTGGGAAACGCCTGCCTGGTCCAGCCTGGAAAGATGCAAGGACTTCCCTGCCAGGCGCCTCCACATTTCAGAAGCACAACTGTGTACTTGCCTTACTGGCAAGGTGACAGGGCGATATATGAGAAGGTGGGCCCCCAACCCCAGGACTTCAGTCAGGCACATGCAGGGTTTTGCTGCCACCCTCAAATCCACAGAAAACCAGCACTCCAATGACCTGACCCACTATTGCCATTAATGAGTGATGAAGCAGCAGTCATGTTCAGTTACACCAGGCATACCTGCAGCAGTTTGTGTCCTACCCCTGTCCAGGAAAAAAATACCTGCTTTCCCTTATCCAGCTGAATCCCATCACAAGATCACAGAATTGTTTTGGTTGGAAAGGGCCGTTAATTAAGATCATCAAGCCCAACCAGTAACCCAGCACTGCCAAGTCCACCACTAAACCATGTCCCTAAGCACCACATCTATGCACCTTTTAAATACCTCCAGGGACGATGACTCAACCACTTCCCTGGGCAGCCTGTTCCGAAGATTGACAACCCTTTCCATGAAGAAATTTTTCCTAATATCCAATCTAAACTTCCCCTGGTACAACCTGAGGCCATCTCCTCTTGCCCTAAATATATATCGCTGCAGCAATGACGTCCATCAGCATGAACAAGGTATACCATCACTGATGCCCTTCAAAGGGCCACTTGCATTTCACCCACCCACAAGCAAAAGACTCAGAGACCAAGCAAGCTCTTTGGGTGACCAAAAGTATTTAAACCAAATCTAACAAGCTTGCTCAGCTCATGTGGCAAAGAGCATGACGCTGCAGAGCAGCTGTTGGAGGGGTCTGCAGGCCACCAGGCCAACCCACTGACCACTAGCCCAACCATGAGAGCACCAGGGATGATTTGCATTATTGTCTTAATGAGAAGTGACATGTTATGTATCCACAGCCACTCAGGCTAGAAATACAGTAATTCAGTGTGATAAGATGACAAGTAAGAGGTAAGAAGTTAATGGTGTGGTGCCTTGTTGAACACAGCTTGTCATGCCTCATTAGATTTAAGAGAGTTATCTGAGACTCTGTAATTATCAGAGACAGTAAAACTGTTGTATTAAAGATAAAAGCTAGTATTATAGAGATATAATTAACTGCTTAATAGGGCATTTACTGTGCAGAGCTGCAGCAGGCTGTCTCCAAATTAAACCAGAAATCCAGCCAGGATTACTGGAGTTTAAACAGGCAGCAGAGTTGTTTGGTGGCTGTGACCCAGAGGTTAGGGGTGATGCTAAGTCCACATAAAAGTAGTACAAGGTCTCTGAAAACTGAAGGAGCTGATGAAGTCCTCTTTGAAGCAGTACTGCTTTTGTGCTTTAGGAACACACTCGGGCTCTGGAACAACAGGCTGAGCAGCAACTGCAAAGCATCCCTCTCTTCTTCCAAGCCCTGCAGAAAGCCAAGCCACGGCATGCACAGCCACAGGCTCAGCTAGCTGGGGCTGGAGAAAGGCTGAAGTCTCCTTTGCTCTTCTCAAAACACATCTCCACTCACTGGGGTCAACTCAGTTTTCCACTGGCTGTAGGCATGGGTGTGCTACTGTGGCTCAGGCAGATCAGTCCACCCTTAAGATTTATTTTAAAAGAGTTGTGTATGCTTATGCATCAGGCAAACAAGAAATGTGACGTTCAAGTTTAGCACCTAGAACCAATTAAAAATTGAGTTTAATGCACACAGAGTTGCATAAGATGGGAGAGAACCCCATTCAACTAGATTAAAGAGACTAGCGTTTACTGGTTCTACACTAGAAGACAACAGAAATTTGTCTTCCCAACAGTGACACCAGCTACAGCATTGATTATTTTAACTCTCCTTCCCTTTTCAGCTTTGTCCATTAGTAAAGCAAGCTGGCTTTTGCAAGGAAGCAGAAGATGTTACTGCACATCTCTATAGCTAAATGATCATCCCAGTTTGCCAGATACCTGCAAGCCTAGTTAGGGCAGCAGTCTGGACCACACCACAGGCCAGGAAAGCACAGGTCCCCCAGCTGCATGTGCTCCTCACAGACCCACGTGCTACTCAGTGCTCTATAAGTCTTAGCAAGCGTGCTATGCACACACAGTAAGGACTCCAAATCTCACTTTATGCCTCTTCACGTCATCACTAAACAGGAAACTAGTCCTAGAAACATGTGAAGCAAGTAAAATACACATGAACCTTTAGATTCTCTCCCCAGATCTTTCTAAGGGGAAGAAAACACCAGTGGAAGTACAGGCAAGCTTTCAGACTTCTTTGAAGTCTAAAAGAAGCAACGAATCTCAAAGCTGAATGCAGGCTGGGAATGCTTACTCCAGAGTTGACTTCAAGTAGGGAAGCCTGAGAAGTCAGCCTCAACTCACGCTTCCACTAGTGGTGTAAAGTCTGGCTGTTTACAGCATGTTTAAGGTGAGTCTTAGCTAGCATTGATGACCTACCAAGTTGCCCCCTTTATCACCAAGCAGAGCTACTCATGTTCTGAAGAGCAGCAAATTTGGGAGTTGTGTCAAGTCAACTGCCTCCCTGAGAGCACAAAATCCCCCAGTGGTGTGTACTGCTGCTGCAGGGACACCACAGGTTGATAGCAGATGCTGGGCGAAATAAAGCTGGACACACCATTTTAAT